CCCGCCTCTTTCAAGGGGCGGGGTCAACGGGCGGGCGGGGTCAAAGGCGTGGGCAGGGCGGGCGGCAAACAATTGAATATCTTGAACTTTTGCCACAAAAGTGCACTTTTTAAAATGGCATTACCTGAGAAGGACAACTTTAAATAAAAAGCTTCAAATGTTTGGCTCACGAAAAAACTTTGCTCCTTGTATGGATTAGCGATTAGCAATATTAATTTATTGGCAAATGAAGCAATTAGGTCCATTGAAGAGACTCGGTTTTGTTTGTTTTGTTCAGTAAGCTCCTTTTCGACACTCGAAACTTGTCCTAGCTCGTTTCAGAGCTTTCATTTCAACGAATGCCAAGCGGCCAAAAATGAAGCGAGTTATCTAAATGACTTTGACTCATCATAAACTATGATCCAAGCCGACTACTACTTTGTTAGCTAGCTATTTAGATTAAAAATAGGCGGTAAACAGTATCAAAAATCTCACAGCTTATTAAAGAATTTTATAGCAGTTTTCATAATTACAAGGGAAGGTCAAGTGGGCAAGGTGGCCAAATACTATGCAATATGTCAAAAAATTATAGACGCACCCTGTTTGTTGCTAGTTTAGAGCCGGATATAAGGGCTAGTCCAGTAAAAAGTATTTTTTTAGTTTTTTCAATGTAAAAACAACCCATGCAAAATTTCAAGTCATCCAAAGTACTTTATCGTACAAAAAACGTTTTATCAGCTGTCAAAAAATTATAGACGCAACTTAAATTTTACGATTTATTCTATCGATAATGGTTAGTTTTTTCTCATTTTTTTTGCTTATTAGTTATGTTTATAAATGTTTTTCATTTTCAGATATGCCACTTGGAAAACAATACTTAGTGGAAAAACGCGTATCGATGTGCTCCACACGCTTGGTCACTCAAACAGGGACATTGCTCCGTCGCATCGGACGTTCTGAGAAGTGTATTCGCACGTATCTCAAGACCAAAGTGACTCCTAAGAAGAAAGAAACACGGGGCCGGAAGAAGAAGTTGGCCGATCAAGACGAATGCGCAATTACGAGACGTCTTTCCAACACGACGACATCACTCGAAGAGGCTCGCTAGGAGATGAAGCTTTCGGTCACTCGCCAAACTGTGCACAACGTTGTCAAACGATCTTCAATGCTCAAATACAAACTCATGAAGCAAGCTCCACGACTTACAAAGGACCATAAAGCCGCCCATATCGATTTCGCTCAAAAGAATCAGAAGACCAAATGGGAAGGAGTTAGCTTACTAGTATTTCTTATATACTTTATGTTTAGATCATTTGGAGTGACGAAAAGAAGTTCAACTTTGATGGTGCTGATGGCTTTCGAGGATATTGGATGGATTCACGAAAGCCGGGCATGGTCTTCAGCACGAGGATCTTTGGAGGTAGATCATGTATGGTATGGGGAGCCTTTCGAGACGATGAGCTGGTCGGCTTAGAGTTTATTTCGACCCGGATGACATCGCTTGACTATCAACAATTGTTGAACAAACATCTAGCCGTCTATCTGAACAACAATCCGGGCAATAACTTTACTTTTTATGCACGATAACGCGAGTATTCATGCAAGTTGCTCCATAAGAGATTGGCTAACAAAATCGAAAATCGACACTCTCGCTTGGCCCGCTTGCAGCCCCGATTTGAACCCGATTGAAAATGTGTGGGGACAGTTGTTCGAGATGTCTACAACGGAACAAGCAACATTTGAGCGTAACTGAACTCAAGAAATCCATTCAAGTAGCCTGGAACCGGCTTCAGCCAACAGCGCTCCATGACATTGTCTCTTCGATGCCGAGACGTCTTTTTGAAGTTGGACTAAAACAAGGAGGGCCCACATTATTAATTTATTTGGTTTGTGTTGTTATTTTTATTTCTGTTAACTTTTTCTTGATAAAATAAAAGTGCGTCTATAATTTTTTGACAGCTGATAAAACGTTTTTTGTACGATAAAGTACTTTGGATGTGTGAAATGACTTGAAATTTGCATGGGTTGTTTTTTTACATTAAATAAACTAAAAAATACTTTTCACTGGACTAGCACTTACGTCCGGCTCTAAACTAGCAACAAACAGGGTGCGTCTATAATTTTTGACAGATTGTATACCATTCGACTCAGAATTTCACACTGATTCCGAATCTGTTTTCAGTGTTATGCCATTTGACCACCTTGCCCACTTGACATTCTTTTGTTAAAACACGACAAACTTTTCCTAAACTCACCGACAACGTTAAATTACTGAGCTCTCCGATTACAAAAGGCCCCACTCGCAAGACTCTACATAAAAGTCATAACTTGTTGCAACGTAAACGATGAACGCGTTCGGCCCTGCCACGTGGAATACGATTTCCAGTGCCTGAAAAAATGAAACGAGAAACACGCTGAATGTTACCGTCACAACGAGCGCCGGAATGAGTTTACCACTTGTCTTTCGGACGACTCAACGATCGAAAAAGCGAGCAAAATGAAATCCAGCGATAGCAAAACAACAGAATATCCCGCTGGCAGAGTCCAAAGCCAAAGCCAACCCCAGTCGGCTCTATGAATTAGTGGAGAAATTGATTGAGTACCCAAACAACTCACAAGCCCCAAATAACGACAGTGCCGACAGCTACCCACAGCTAAAGCGACGATTATCAGGCTGATAGTAGTCAGAGACAATGTAAACCGCCTAAACGCTGGTAAAGTCTAAACTGTAGCTGAAGGTTTACTCGCTTTTGCAGTGATTAGCATTTTTGCGTTTCGTTAGACGAACGCTTGGACTTCACAGACGGACGTTACTTTCCTAAAAATTCAATTGATTAAAATTTTTGAAAAAATCATGGCGATATTTTAGGAGACCTAAAATCGCATAATAAAGTGCTAACAAATGTCATGCGAAAAAAATGAAGGATTTTGACAAAAGCGGTGCATTTTAAAAGGAAAGGCAGTCTTTCCACGGATTTGTGTCCTAATCTCTCCACGCCCAACTTTTCCGATAAGGTTCAAAATGAAAGAAAAGACTTTTCCATTTTCCAACCCTCAAGCACTTTGCACGTTGAAATACTATTATACAAAAATAAATCTTGCACTAGAAAAGTGATTTGCAAGTAAATTTTAAGTCAAAGGAAATCTCATTTTATCGAAGTTTAGCCAGCGTTTTTGTACTGTTTTTCATTGAATGCCTCGATTCGTTCAAGTTTTTTGTTGTCTGAAGCAATGCTTACTGTTTGCCGGTTTGACAAAAAGATTTATTAGTAAAGTCTAAGCTACAAAATCCTAAGCTACGAAATTCTTGTGTTGAATCGATCGAGCATCGACGTTGCTCTCGGGAGGCACTCTTTTTATCAGCTTCAAAGGAATTCTCGTTTCTTTAGATGGGTTTTTAGAAAAGAACTTGTCGAGACAGCACTTGTCAATGCGAGTTGGGTGACAAGGTGAGACGATTAGGTTTTAATGTACAGTAAAACCTTGTTAGTATTGGGTTGGCGGATATGAGACTTGTGACGTTTTCAAATTAAATCCCATAGATCTAAACAAAAATGAGGGAGAGGAGTTTGTGGAAAATAGGAAAGTGAACATTTACTCTTGTGAAAACAATGGACTTTCACTTTCAACATATTTGCTTTTTGGAATTTTACTTTACTTTCTTCTAACTAATGAAAAACTACCACTTTGAGATCTGCGACACGTTATGTTGTACGAATTTTTACAAGGACACAAGGGCCTCTAGTGTTCAGCTAATATTGAGAACGCTTATGTAGATAGATCAGCTGTGTAAACTGGTTTGTTCAATTCCGTTCAGGGGATGAATCCTCGAAGATAAAGGGGCAGGCATTATCCAGCATTCAAGGTGGATAATGCCAAGGTTACTCGAAATTTTTCAACCCAAAAAAAGGCTTTCTTTTCGCGAAATAGCAGAATAGTTATCACAGTTGATCATAAAATAATACTTGAAAATTGCATACATTTGGGTTTAAACCGTCTTAGGAACTTGGATTCCACATAATTTAATGGACACACAGAAATGGCAACGTGTCAGAAATCAGTGCCGCTCATCTTTCTCGATAAGAGCGCAAATTTTTTTATCCCGGATTGTGATGAGGGATGATAATGGATTCTAACTGTCAACTTTTGGAGAAGGCACCGGGTTGCTGAGGGGAAAAACTCGAACCCGACGCCAAGCCAAATGTGCATGAGAAGAAGTTTATGCTCTCGGTGCTCTGGGATTTGGAAGAGCCTATCTACTGGGGACTTTTGGATAGCAAGACAACCCTCAACTCAATCAAATACTGAAGCAACTTGACAAGCCAGCCAAATCTTTTGCCAGAGAAAAGACCCTAAGAGAAAACTCATACTTCAAGATGATAATGCTAGACAGCATGTTTCGAAGAAGACTCGTTCCACACTAAACTCACTTGGATGGGAGGTGATGGCCCTCTTTGCCCTACAGCTTTTAGGCATCTCTCATTTCCCATTTCAGCCATCGAGTTGAAGAAAAACAAAAAAAAGAGAGAGTTAGAAACAGGTTGATTGATTGCTGAGTTTGTTACAAAAAACTGCTGTACACAGAGATAATGTAAAGTTTCGAAAATTCCAGAAAATCTGTGAAAATCGCCGAAATGCTCATCGATCCGACTCGGCCACTTGGCCACCATTGAGACGATGAAGAAGAGAAACTTCTAAAATTCTAAAATTTATTGACTGAATTTCTTGAAAAACGCAGCCCTTTTTTGAAAGGTATTCAATTTACCACCAAAAGCAAAATTTGTTGTTGAGCAAAGTACATCAAAGCATATGTATTTGTAATTAAAAGTCGATTTCTAGCAAAAACTTTCTCTTTGGCAGGTGAAAAAATAAGCGAAAAACAACAAAAAATGTAGACCTAAGTTGAGAAATATTTGTAAAAATTATTTGTGTTTTTTATCATGTCCAGTTTGAGTTTCAAATTCCATGGGATTGTCTATAATTTCACGGAACCGTCTCGGAACTTGACTATGAACGTCGCGATGTACGATCGTCTTGTGCCTTGGTATCGCACGGCTGGAGTGGCCTCGATTATTAGCTCCTGTCTTGGAGCCTATTGTATCATAAAGAAGTCAACAAAAGAAATGAAAAATTATAAATGGTGTCTGTTCAACATTTTGGTGGGTTTGATTCTGATTCTGATTCTGATTAATGTGTCTTCTAAAAGATGGACATCTGGGAAACTATCATAATCTACTCGTTTTTTGTTTTCCATTTCATTCAATTCTATTCAAAAAAAACTTACAGTATAAACTCCAAAAACGTATGGATCGTAACAAGTCAAAAGAAAAGGATACGCTAGTTTTCAAAGTTGTCCACTTTTAGAATTATCATTCCTTACGATCAACCCAATATATTGGTGAGTCTTGTAAAAGAACGGGTTTCTAACAACAGCTAACAGCTAGGCTAAAATTTAAGGAAGCCAATATTACTTAAAATTCACAGATCTGTACGAGTATTTCCGATTTGGTTGTCGCATTCTGGATACAACCGCTCTCCTTTTTTCCGCTTGTGGGCGGTGTGGGACGAGTGCGTTTGTGGCGATGGGAGGCCGACCATAAATATCATTGCTTTGTTGCAGTTTGTATTGATGAAACATTTTAAAAGCGCTTTAACTAGGCAAGTGCTATTTTAATGGTAAACTTTTGTATGGCTTCCATTCAAATTGGCTTCCTCTATCGTTTGATGGTGCTCTACGAAAATTGTTGGCCGATCAGACGAGGCAGAAATTTGATTGTGGTAAACTAACTTTTGGAAGCTAGCAAAATATTGGGTTGGTCAATTGAAAACTGCGAGCTATTTCGCGGGACTCGCAGATAAAAAAAACAACAGCATTGAACCAGCTGAAACGGGGTTTGGTTCTAAACCTTTCCTCAAATTATTGCGGAAAAATTATGCTTCCAGCTTTTGATTTTGTGGCATTTTTCTTCACTTCTTCTATTGCACCCGACAATCTGCCACCGGACATATTTGTCATGCCATGCTTCATGAGTTCCTACAAGAGCACAGTGCAGGCTTGGCAGCTGCTAATATTAAAAAGATAAATGGGGAGGACTCACCTCCCGAAAGAACCTGTCGAGTATGGTTTGCCAAGTTTCGATCTGGCGCATCCCGTATACAGTCCGGATCTCGCCCTTTTTGATTACTATTTATTCCGGATCATGACGAATGTGCTTGCGGGAGAACACTTCGATTCGGAAGAAACAGTCAAAGATTGGCTCTAAAAGTTTTTCGATTCAAAACCAAAATCCTACCACGAAAGAGGAATCCGCAGATTGCCTGTAAAATGAGCAGGTTGTCAATAATAATGGAAATTATTTGGAATGAATTTATGGTTTTATGTTGAATAAATTTTAGTTCAAAGTCCGGCAGTTTTCGATTCACTAACCCAATAGATTTGCTAACAAAATCTATTTGCTAAGAAAATAGATTAAAGATAACAAAATAGATTTTTAGACTGTGACTCCGGTTCTCTTCGAGGCTACGATTGGAGTTATTATGTTTTCGCCTATGTAAGTTTCGCCTAGTCATTTACTAGTTTGTTCGTAGTGAAAGATTTTGAGTAAAATCCTTAAATTTAGTCAAACTTTAGCATGTACTCAACTGGCATGAGACACTCGACCACGATTTTAATCTTTTCCTGCTTGATAACTGGATAAACCCGAATTTTTTTGGTGTCAATTGTATTGGGCGATATGTGGGTTGTTGGCGTTGTTTTTAAGGGGATTTTTTGCAGCCGGCGTTACCTACATGTTCGTAAATATTATGGTCATTTGGTGGGCATTTGAAAGGTTGAAACGATCGAGAAACTTGCTGAGCGATAGCGCGAGAAAGCGCCACTTCTTTGCCATTGTCGCTCTGATTATACAAGTAAAAAAAGATAGGGAAATGTTATCAAAATCAACACAATCTTCCAGGCAATTGTACCTCTAGTTGGCTACGTGATTCCACTGTACATTTTTTCCATTCTTGCTCAAACCCGTCTCGAACGGAATCTTCAGGGTGAGCATCTTGAGACAACTTGAGTTGAGAATCCAGTTTAGTATTCATTATTAATTTATCTTGCAGAGCCCACTTCGGTTTTCGTTGTTATGCTTTCAACGCACGGCGCATTGAATGCATTGGTGATGATGATGGTAACAAAACCGTATCGACGATTTCTCGTCGCAAATCTAAAAGAGTCGCACTTTGCAAAGCGGATGGAAGAATCTATGGAGCATCGAGCGGTCAGCTGTGGAGTGAATGACTGCCTCTGTCTAATAGAATTCTTCACATTCTTTGCGTTAGCCTGTAGGAATTCAAGTCATATTTTATTTCAATATTTATTTTCGAAATTCCACTCAAGATGTTTCTTAAGTATTGTTTCACATGTAGCAATCAGAATAGCCATTCTTGTAGTAGCATTGACCAATAAAACACGTTTCAGCAAGAGCAGCTAAATTACATTTTTGTTCAGTAGATCTTGATGAAAATAAGAAGAAAGAAAAACTTACGGCCAATGCTCTGAGCCTTCGATCCAGAGGGGAATTTCGGGCATGCCGGAGTTGACGTCTGAAAAGAAGATGATAATATTGAAAGCATATCATAGTTTCAAAGTAGTTCAGAGATTAAGTAGTCGGTTAAATAACTCTTCATATCTGTTTAATTTTAGACCAAGACGGTAAAGCTAAACCTAAAGACCTAAAGTTAGAAGTTGCTCAAACGTACCACAACGTAACACGCCTCTACTTTGTTCTTGGTATAGCACGTGGCCGTCTCCGGGCAGGAACCTCCGACTGATGCTAAAATTTTGTTATAGATTGGGACTTAAAAAGTTTACAGTGAGAATACTTGCCTCCAATGTTAGTTGCAACGACTCCAGTCGGCATTTGGGGACAACCAGCGATGGCGATCTGGATTGAGGGTTTTTAAGTAAGATAATACAGAACAAAGTTTTGTTCGACATTTTTGCAAACCTTATCGACACTTGATGAATTTCATTTTTTTATTATAAGCCAAGCCAATTTTAGGATTGCTAAAGAGGCCTAAAGAACTAACATTGGCGGTGCAAACTGTGTAAAAGTAAAGTTATCCTTGTTATTTCCATGGCTAAGGTTTAAGCCGTTAACTGCCACCGGATAAGGGATAAGGGACAAACCTGGATAAGGGACAAAGCCACGAGAGCTGAGACGAGGAATGCGTTCATTTCGAGAGTTTCCAATAATTGGTGAAACTCTTGCACCGACACGACTTTTATAAATGACTTCTTGCAAGTTATGCAAACAAATTGTCTCAAAGTTTTGTAGAATGACCTATCATTTTCACTTTTAGAACGTGTAGCTTTTCAAAAAGTTTTATGGTTTCTGTTGATCAAGAATTTTGTGTTCCCAGCTGCCACCCACACATCAGCCGTCTCATCTCAGCACAAATTTATTTTTGGATTGTAGAGTGATCAATGAAACGTGATCTATGTTGACGGTGGGGTCATCTATCCATGTCAAATAGTTCAAAAATTTTACCTTTACTTGTTTTGTGTTTTTTGGATGTAGGACTGATATAGTATAGACCCGTATGGATTCTTTTCCATGAGCAATGGCCATTCCTAGTCAGTGTGCCCACTCTGGCGGACTTTTTATCAGTTTAAATCAATGGTAAGAGATTTTTAAACTTTATTCATCTGTTTCAAAGTCTCACAACAAAATTTCCTTAAAGAGCATCGCCGAGCAAGAACGAAAGTCGAAAACGCGAAGCTATAACGGCATTTTTACGAACTCTCAGATTCTCTATCAGTTTTATGGAGATTTCATAAGCATTTAAGCTCATGAACAGCTTAAACGACTTTTTATGTATGGTTTCTTTCATGAATCACAGGAGATCGTAAAATTTTGTGCAAAAAAAACCAGAATTCTCTTAAATTTAACGAGTTTTCGTTTTAACAGAAAACCATTTTTCTGATGCCACCTTGACCTTCCTACCAGTAGTGATTTGGAGTTTTTGTTTTTGTTTTTGATGTGTTGGTTCAAATGGGAAATATTTTCTATACAAAATCTAATATTCTTCAGTTAACCGTAGCCATACAGCAGATTATCGTTAGCAATACAAAAAACAGGGCACAACTAACAATGTCATGGCTCATTTACGACAGTTCGGAAGAACTTCAAGTGCATTTCGAGACATGAAAACGAAGGTGTTAATGTCAATTTTTTGACAAGATAGAAAGATAAAATTCAAATTTTTTCACATCGCCCTTTCTTTAATAATTTTATAAGGTTGCACCGAATGAAACCGCTGCTTTCTACATAACAACTTTGTTAATAAAATACTGCGAAAAACATCAATTATTCCAAAAGATATTCGCCATTATTTTTGATGGTCTTTCTCCATTTCTCCTCCAAATCTCGAATCGCATTCTCGAAAAACTGGGCTGTTTGACTATTAAAGTATTAGCGCACCCAGATTCGGATCTCATCGTGCTTTTTGAACTTCTTCCCCGCCAAAGAGTGTTGCAGCGTTCGAAATAAATAATCCGTAGGGGCGAGGTCTGGGAATACGGCGGGTGAGGGAGAGATTCCCAACCCAGATCCTCAAGTTTCTCTTGAGGCAACTTGTGTGGGCGGGCGTTATCTTGAAGGCGACACACTTTGCCCGAATTAGTCCACTGCTGGCGAAATACTTGATTTATCCGCTCAAGTTGTTGAACATAAGAGTTCAGAATTCGCTTTTTGCTCGTGATTGAGCACCTCAAAGTGCACAAGTTCCTTTGTATTCCACCAAACACATAACATTGCCTTCTTTCCGTGCAAGTCCACCTTTGGAGTCGTTACAGGAGATTCTCCTACACTGAGTCACTGTCGTTTCCCGCTTAAAACATTGCTGCTCTCAACTATTCGCTATTCAACTATTCAATATGAAAACCATTCGCTTCGTTTCTGTCTCTTGATAAACACTCTTTCATTTTGGTTTAATCATTTTTTTTTTCATGTGTTTTCGAGTGCTCTCAATAGGGCAATAAATAGCTCACTTTGAGTCATTTTTGCGCCAAAATTTTGAGACAAATGCAACGGGCTCTTCTCGTGATTTCCTTCCTGGTGATTGTGTTGCAACAGGTTTAATTCTTCCTTCTTATCAAGCACAACACCCAGACAGAAAACTAGCAATCAACTAGTCTAATCTTCTCTAAACTAGGCTACCTGGCTGGCTTTGTCTTAAAGCCGGCATCCAAGATAAATTAGCTCTAGAACTAAATAAAATAATAAAAGAAGGGATAATCCGGCAATAACCACATACCGTATTTTCTCTAATACCTGCCTATTATTTTTTCAATCGATTTTTTAGGACTCCCCGGAAAATTGGTAAAGGGACCCATCAAAAAATCTTTTAAAACTTTTCTAAAAATTATTTTAACAACCCATGAAACCTATAAAAATTGCTCTAAAGCCTATGAAGAATGCGTTTAAAATGAAAACTTTTTCTCATACTGGATCAAGGTCCAAAGATCCATGTGGTCCCCTCTTACCATTTTTGAAAAAAACTTTCAATAATTTTTCAAAAATGGTCAAACGGATTTCACTACCTTTTGGAATATAAAAATATACTCATAAACACATGTTTTGGAGCAAAAGCTCAAGCAAAAAGTTGGTTTTCGAGGTGGTCCCCAGCTAGGTGAATTTTGACTGGAGGGGTGCAGTTATTAGAGTGTAATACGGTAATTAAAGGATTTTCAGGTGTCTGCCCAAGGCTTTCCCACTGAAGGTTGGTTTTAGTTTGTGTTTCAAATCTAATAAAATGTAGCAAAAAAGTCTAACAACTCTGCCATTTTAGAATGTCGTTACTGCACCCTCGATTTCGAATCAATCTCGATTTCCGAATCAATCAATCAATCAATCAATCAATCAATCAATCAGGAAATCAAAACACCGGCCGCGCCGGAATTGTGGGCTAGGCTGGCAACGATGAGACAACATGAGAAACAATTCCGCTCTGAACAGCAACAAATAGATGAAAAAGTCATCTCCTAGAAATTTTAAATGCAATGTTGTCAGTGACGAGAAGCAAAATGTTTCTAACCTTTATCGTTCATTTTAGTTTGACGGGAGCACCGAAATTGGCAGTCTCTTTACGAGAGCCCTCTTTTACTGCAATTCCGACGGAGATCGATGGATTTGGACTGGCGGTCCAAACAATATGAACCACCAACCAGGAACGCTGTTCGATGCGAAGACTAACAGACGAATTCGGTATACCTGATCATTATATATTACAACAAATAAAGTTTTTACTTTTGTTCATCTTAGTGATTGTGAATGTGAAGATATTCAGCCGTTTAAATGATTTGTTGACAAATTTAAGTGATTTGGTAACAAATTCCTTCAAATGTAAAGATGATTTGGTGACAAATGACAAATTTAATTGAGTCTAGTGTGTCTTAACGTTGATAAATTCAATTGGAAGACTATTTTTCCAAGAGGCCAGCTTCTGACCTTCAGGCCAAAGGTTCGTTATCCATTCAAAAGCTACAATTTACGGCAACCGTATCTAAATCTACAACCAAAAAAAGATTTAGAAAAATAGTAACTTGGAGGAAAAGCTTGAGCTCAAAAGGCGTTTTATTAAAGTGTGTTCTGTTTATATCCCGCAAAACCAACACATATTCGGCTTATGACTTGTTTTGTGCTATTGGGCTAATTATTCCAGTCGCACCTTCATGAACAAATGTTGAATCTTGAGCAAGCTTTTATTCCGTTCACCTCTGCCACGTGTAATTAATTTGACTCTCCAAAGGCAATAAAAATCGTTAACGTCATTTTCAACATTCTTAAAAATGTGGAACTGTTTACTGTATCTATCGTTGTTTGAGTATGTACTGGTTTTGGGGAGTATGCCAACAGATAAACCGGGTCCGTCCGGGACAGTTCGGCTAGTCACAGATCGAGGTCCGAGGTCGGACTCCACCAACCTCTGGACGTAAGTTTTGCACAATGGCGGTGTGTATAAATTTGTATTAATTTCTTGATAAAGATTACTAATTGACGAAAAAAAGCAAATAGGTAGTTAACGATTTTCAAAACCTGACGCTAGTGTTAATAGAAATATCATAAGGGACGGAAGGTTTAGTTTGCTTGTTAGAAACCTACGGAGAAATTCATATAGTATCGTTGACTTTTGAATCGCTTTTTTCAGTTAAACGCAGACTTTAGTATTAAAAAATAGTTTAATTACAAAAGATTGGGTAAAAATATATAACCTCTTCGTTTCAAAACGGCTTTAAGAGCTGCCGATCGTTGATGTGGCTACTTTAACTCAAGATGCACAATTTCAATATGGAGAACGTCAAATTAGAAAACTTCCGAGAGAGAAAAAGTGAAATAGCTGAGAATATTGAAAAGGTGCAGGCAGAGAAAGCCAAAATGGAGCATCATATCAGGAAATCCAAAACACCGGCCGCGCCGGAATTGTGGGCTAGGCTGGCAACGATGAGACAACATGAGAAACAATTCCGCTCTGAACAGCAACAAATAGATGAAAAAGTAATCGCAGTAAGAAAAAAAGCAAGCCGAGTACGTGAACTAAGAGAAGAAATGGCAGCTCAGCAGCGTTTCAATGAAGGAGTTGAAAAGCGAGCTAAAGAACTTCGTCGACAGAAGCAGCAGCAGAAACCGTCGAGTGGCAGTGGAGAGCTTCTGTTGTTAGTAGTGGCAGTGGAAGAGGTTTGACAAGACACAAGACACGCTCTTGCAAGATTGTACAAACAATGAATAGAATCTTAGTGAATCATGAGGTTTTGCTGGCTCAAACAGAGATTTCATGTAATTGTCAATTTTACACAAAGCGTGAACTGTTTAAATTTAGCTCCAGCAAGTCGAGAGCTAACTGCCGAAGACCATGGTTAGTTACCGCTTAGAGAACGTGCATTGTCAAAGTATAAAAAGTATTTTACTTTAACTCGAAAAGTTTTAGACGCAATCAACCTAGCTTTGGACTTGGCTAATGATCAACAAGGTGAGGGATAGGTTGTTTTTGTGGAGTGCTTTATGTAAGAATAGATAGCATTAGACTTGTGAGAATAAATTACCCAATTAGTATTCACTGAATTATGTTTACTTTATTCACATGATTATTATCATGTAGAAAAATGTGGCCCTTCCGGAAGTGGCCAAGGCAGGTCGAAAGAAAAGGAGCTCCTCAAAGCAGAAGGCCCTAGTCGGATGCAATCTCAATGTGAAAACTCTCAACCTGCCCGACAATTTTAAGGTAATTCCGTTTTGCATATGATAGTTAGTTTTGTTTTTGCTCTGATAAACTTTTTCCGGCAGTTCCACACGTTGTATTGATATACAGATGAGAAAGAAGATGAACAAACGTTTCATTGAAAACAATGAGTGACAAAAGTGATTTGGTGTTCCCATGTCATCAAAAATTCATGGTTTTGCTGGAATGAAAACTCAAATCGTTCTGCATCCACAACTTTCAAGCAAAAAAACTTGGTGTAGCGTTCGCTGTACTCGAGATTTTGTCTGTTACCTTTTACGTTTTTTTGAATGGGAACCAAATAGAAGCCAAATGGGGACTAAAAATTCTAAATTTGCATGGATGCTCTGTCGAAATATGCCATTTTTTAAAACTTTTTTGGGTTTTTCGTTTTTTGTACATGCCCCTCTTCCGAATTTATACAGTTTTCCCGATAAAAAAAAGTAGAAAAACAAAATTTCTGGATCCGACGCAATGAGGTGCTTGAAATCACCATCTTCTCTTTGTAAAAAAATCAACAAACTCCTTCGTGCTCTTTCTGCTTTTAGGGAAAAATGTCGACTGCAAAAAAGCAACAATTTCATCCTAATCGTGTCCCTAAGGCAACTGCCTAAATGAATGAAAGGGTTAAATTTGGACATTAAAACAACAAAAATCTCAACTTAAGCACTTATTTCAGTTGTAAACTTGAACTTTCTCTTTTGTTATCTATGCTAACTTTCTCTTTTTTGTTAACTATGTTTACCTAAGCTAAGATCCTTTTAGCCCAGCAATCATAAAATTATTTAAAAGATGCCTTTTATAAGGGAGGTATGATTAGTCGATACTTGAGTTTCACTGCAGGTTCGAATTCCATGGAAACGAGCTCTACTTTGATGGGTTGAGTGGATGATTTTACTCTTGGCAATCACGTGAATGTTTCCTTTCCGTATTTGAGAGAAAACCCCTCTTTTGGGTGTCATCACCTAAAAAATGCGGAAGAAAAAAAGAAAGTGAAAGAAAACAATATTAAAAACCTGATTTGATTCACAAAATGAAGAGATTTGCGAATTTTTTGTTAACTTCATATATGTTGTGTCCGATTGTCCATCGGAAACAATCTCAAGAAGCGACAATAACTTGTTTTTACTGTTATCTTGAGTTCCCAGCAACAGAGTATTATTTTCTCCCATGAATATCAGTTTTGGGAGGGGTTTGAGGGATTTCTTCCCTGAGATTTCTTAGTTTTTACGAGAAGGTTCTGCGTTAAGCAAATGTTAAAAGCTATTTGGGGTTGCTATGTGTTAAAAACTAAACAGTTTTTTGTTATTGTTTTTTTGTAACTGAAAGAGTAAAATCAAGCTCAACAGTTCGGATCAGCAAATCCATGGCTTTTGTCTTACCGTTCATAATCTTTACCCCTTGTTTTGCCAGCTTCCAACACGCTTTTGGAAAGTTAACCTTTAAATACTTTTGCCTGCTTAAGAGAAAGCTCGTTGAATTTTGATTACTAAAAACCTTTAGTTTTCTGATTGTCTTCTAGCCAAAACCCATTTGCAAATTGTAAATCGGCTCTGGTCCAGTACAAAATTGTACAAAAATACTTCGAGTTTTAGGGTGTGTTTGCTCAAAATAATCTTTGAACTGATGAGAGCATCCTTTTCTCGCCAATCATCTCAAAGCGGTCTTTGGCGAGTTCACACGTCACCCCCAAAACGGGTGCTTTCTTTTCTCAATAAGATCCAAATCAAATGAGAAAAGGGCTTTTCGATGGAATTTTGGTCGAGTTCGATGGAGTTCGGCTAACACTTTCAATTGACTGCAACTATAAATTAGGGGAAATCTCGGAGAGAAAATTCCTAAACCCATTTTTGCTCAAATGTTTTCTGCAATGTCAATAATTTTGGACTGTTGTTAGCTTTTATTCATCTGAGTGATGGACAGCTGTTTGGCTGGGGTGGATCCAGTTCGAGCGGTCCGTACAGTGGGGCAGCCGTACAGCGAAACTTTCTATGGACGCGCTCGTATTATCAAACAGCCAACTCACCGATGCAATACCGAGGGCTGGTATTTCAGGACCAGCTGGACAGTGTCGAGGTAAGAGATCTACTATATATAAAGCAGAAGACATGTCCGTCTATCTGTGGGTACTTAAACGCGACGCACCGTAATTACGTTTGCCCCTAAAAGGCAAAGTTATTCAACTTTGCGCGCAATATTTAGCTCCCGGAGGTTTTCGGCTATGGGGAATCTGACTTTTAGGTCCATTTTTAAAAAGGGGACGGGGCTTTATCATCGGTTAGGCTGATTTTCTAATCAATAACACTTTCAATGGTCAAAAATTAATTAGTAACGTTAGCAAAAATTACCCGGACAAGAGTTCTTGCAGCTGTAACCTTGCAGCCAGATAACTTAACCGTATAATTTTCTCCAGATTATAAATTTACTCATTTAACCTATTTGACATTACTGAAAAGGGAAATCCGGCCGACCGACTTTTCTTCGAACCACGAAGCATCGGGTAAAATTGATGCTGGTTCGAGCTTCATTTTTCCCCTTTTCAGCGCCTCTGGCTTCTGAAAAACTGTAGGAAAAAACAACATTAAGAGACTGGAAAAGTGTGATGACTAATTTTTTAAAGATAACTAAGAGTTTATAGAAAAAGAAAAAATAGAATTATAGGAGTTTTATGGAACGGTTGACGAATAAGAATCAAACAAGTTCTTGTCCGGGTAATCTTGCTCAACCCTGTATTTAGTATCAACAGTTTATAATAAATAAATAAAAAATAGAAAAATTATTACAACTGGACAATTGAAAACTTGAGAATCTACGTCGGGACAAGCCAACTGGCAATCGTTTTTGCAGACTATGACCAGTACAAGTTTTTTATCTGAATAAATCGATTGAAATATCTTCTTCAACTTTCTTTATAAAATTCTTAAATTTGTTTAAATTATTAAAATTCTTGAAGCTAAACTGAAATTTGTTAGGTAGTTTTGCAAGATAGTTAGCTTTGACTCCACAAACTTGTAAAACACTCAAACCTTTGCAAAATATTTGTTGTTTAAGTTGACATCAGAAAAATTTCTCCATTTTGTGGTTTTTAACTAGAGCTTTTTGACTAACGAGAACGAAAGCTGGATTTTAAAAAGGTTACGGCTTTTATGAATACCCAATCAAATGAAAAAAAACCGTTCATTTCTTCTTGGTGTGTGCACTGTCAAAATTTGGGTATTGGGTAGCAAAATTGCAAGAAACAGTTTAGCTGTAAAAAAATTTTTGTAAAATAAAAAATGTTTTTAGCTTTGATACAACCTTTCATTTTCAGTGACTAACTGAGATCTGGGGATCGAATTCAATGGGGCTATCCCTACTACCAATGAACTGCTCGAACACCGGCTACTTCCAGCATCATCAAAAGACGAAAACCTATGCTCCATGTGCCAACAATCTACCCAATAACTGCCATGCTTCAATCCCATACTATTCCCAGACGACAAAAATACACTCCGTACACAAGAGAGACCACTCATCCATACTACACCACAATGAGATATGGATGGGGATAAGAAAACTGTTATAAATTTGGAAGTACAAGATACAATAAAGGTTTTTGATCTCATTTGATGGTAACTGGATATAAAAAACACGACACAAAATGCTTAGATATTTATGAAATAAACTAAAAGACTAGCTTTTAGCTATTTGACTTTTATCCTTTGTAAACAGTAAAAAATGGAGTTGAAGATAGGGAAGTGGAAGCTTTACTACAATAAACTTTTCAAGTACAAGCTAGGAAAAAATAGGAGGTTATGAGATCTCTTTTTTGTTCAATGGATGCCAAAGTAAACTATCAAAAAGTGGTTCTTTCCTCCAATAGCAATGCTACAAAGCTTTTTGTTTTTGGATTGCTAGCATACAAGACTTTTAGCCCTCTGTGGCTTTGTTGCTCTCTAAGTTAACTTTTTGTCTCCTGTAGAGCACAATAGATCAATTTAATATTTTCAGAACATATAAATAATCCTATTTATATGTTCTAAAAACTCAACGGGTGTTTTTTGTTTACAGCTTTCGTCTTAAACTTTAAACTTCAAAGACTAATATCCAAACTCTTTAAAAAATTATAATGTCTAAGAAAAATGTCACGAAAAGTACCAAAAAAGAAGGAATGTAAGACTTTTTATAATAGTAGGTATGTTAAAGCAAAATCCGATTTTGCAGGTTTCAAATAATTTTATCAATAAAGAAAAAAATGAAAAAAAATTAAAGTTTTTTACAATTGTATGAAAGGTTAAAATCAATCACAAAAGCAAATAGCTGGCCATTCGACGCCAAGCGGATCAATCGAAGCTTAAGATTGTGTTCTTTCAACTCTGTCCTTGGAATTCTTCCAGGCTCTTCCGAGTAACTTCCCATCACCAAAGTCGATGTTGTCCTGAACTCGTAGCAGCCTACCGGGATCAACGACGACAAGTAGTTGATCCAATCGTTCGTGCAAATCCCAACCTGCGGCAGTCATCTGATTGTAAACTTGCTGCACGACGTGGATGTCTTTAACCAATGCTGCAATGTAACCATTGTGCACGTTGACTTAGTGCCTTTTCGGTTGGCCCCTCAAAGTTGAGCAAGTGGATTTGATCTGAAACAGTTGAACCTTTAGTGAGAGTTCAAATTTCTCTAATGCTCAATCTATAATTGCTTTGAAAAGAATAAAGTTTGGCTAGTTTTTGTTTAATCATTGTAATCAAAAATATATCAGAGCTTCCGGTAATAGTAAACTGTGGGCTACTTATATAGAAGTGGTTGACTATAAAAGGGGGTTTACTAACGTGTAGTTGTCTTAGGTTGTAAATGTAATATTAAAACCTTATAAGATACTTACAATTCTCTATAGATAACAAACTATGGAAAAAGGCACAGGAACATACAGACAGACGGAGTTTCAAGCTGACTATGCTTACAAGAATCCAATTTACAAGGGAAATCCACAAAATCAAGGTGGTCAATCGAAATGAGCCCTAGACCATTCGATGGCAATTTCATGCTGTTTCTGAATCTGCTGTCCGCTTTTTGCTAAATAGATCGGAATCAAAAGAAATTAAAAAACAAGTTTTGATCTCTTATAACGCTTGCCCGCGCGACAAAAAAATGTTTGCGTAGTTTAGCAAATAACGTGTTGGAATGCAAAGCTGGAGGTCGAGGATTCGACTCTCTTTTAAGTTTTTTTGCAAGAGCCGTTTTATAGTGTTCCCCTAATCCCTCTTCTCTTCGTAATTGCTAAATATTCAAAAATTTTGTTCAAAACCTTCATTTATGTTAAGCAAAAAATAATATGAATATCATAATAAAAACAAAATTTAACAAACATGACAAGAATCCTGATAGAATGAGAACAGGAGGACACAGTCAGTACGGCTTAGAATGTGGTTCCTTTCAACAGTATTTTTAAATGTGTGAATAATTTCATATCCTTTCTTTCTTTCTAATCTCACTCAAACTGCTCATTCTTGGGTTTATTTTGTATAGCTGCAAGATTTTCTAAGTTAGGGTAGTTTTAGCAACTTTAGTCTCAAGTGACACTCATCTGGATTGTATCCCCACAAACAAGCTGATCCCTAAAGCTTTTTCAAGAGATGATGTCAAAACAACTTAACGTTGATCTGAGAGGCGTGAGATGATTCACAGGGCGGTTGTTATTACCCATTATTTTGTACCGGGAAAGATGTGGTTTTGCAGTGGGCAATCATTTCCGGTGTTTTTTGTAACGTAGAGAGGTAATCCCTTGGAAATCCCAGAGAGGTAATCCCGGCAAAGGTGAAATGGGGTCATGGGATTCAACACGGAGAAATTGATAAGAAAAAAAGCAAAGAATTGTTTCTGATGGTTTTGGAGCTCAATGCCTTCTTTTTGTATATCCTTTATTCATAAGGTAGCACTGAAAAAAAACTCATTTTGGGAGGCCAAAATATAAAGAAGTCTGAGAATTTAAATATCTAATTTATCTCAGAACTTCTAAATTGAATTTGTATAATAAATTCATAACATTTTCCCGGTGCAAATTTTCGAGAAAGAAGGGCTTAGAAGTACAGTTGATCTTTTGAGATGGGGAGTTCCTTTGTATGACTTTGTTATTTCATTCTTTTTCATTTTCATTACTTATCTGTCTCTTGAAAATAGCCTCGGCTAAAGGGTAAACTGTTCCTGTTCAGAGAGAAAGGCGAAAATAATGCTTTGGAAACTCTCCATTTAGGGGGAAAAAGAGTAAAACACGAGGCTGTTTACGCGGAAAGTTCGCCCCGCAAAGGGGGATGGGGACGTTTTGATTTTGCCAAGTGAGGGATCTCCTAGTAACAACGGGGATCACACGGGTCGATCATTGTGCCGCCAAGCTCTTACAAAAGCCCCAGAAAATACACAGAAATTCGTAATGATTTGTATTCTGTTCAATCTGTCAATCTTCTGGAGTTAATACTGTATATAGATATGACCAACTCAGGGGACATGGACCCGGACGAGTTGAGGGACTTCCTGAGACGGGTTGGTTCTTTTGAAGAAAACTTTACAATTAGCTGGGATTGACAATTAGTTAGATAGCTAAATATCTCAAGCAAAAATATTGCTTTTATAAAAACAAATATTAAGATGCATTTAAGTAGTCAAAATTTTGTTTTAACTCAACTCATTTGGCAGTAAACATGTAAGAAGGTAGTGGGGGTTATGATGATTTTCTGAACGTATTATTTCCAGTTCGAAGGGACAGAAGTTCGAAATCTAATCAAGCTTATTTTTGCTTTTAGCTAAAGCCAATTAAGCCAGTTTGCTTTTTAGCTGCTTATTGAAAGAGAATATTTATCACATGTTTAGTTAGTCTAACCCAAAATTAGCTTTGTTGCTTGAAAAACAAAGCAAGTCTTGTCAAAAGTTGGAAATGGTTGTTTATGGTTTAGATAAACAGACTAATTTCTAAATGCAAAAGAATAACTACATTTGCAATTGAAATTGAGATTCCAGCTGAGTGAGAGTGCCGAGAGTGGGAAAGAGCTCCAGCCAAACCATTGGTAAGTTTCTTTATGTGCTATTTCAATATAGATTATTTTTGATTATAAATATCGTAAAAACTCTGAATAGAATGTTTGGCGCAAGATGGCTGAAAAGTTCTGTCCTCATTAGGAGATTTGTCTCTGTAATAATACTTGTAAAAGCCTAAAGTGTCTCAAATTTTCGCCCAGTTAATGCGGACAGAACCTTTTCAGCCACCTTGTGGCTTGAATAGCCTCTCTCCAATAGTAGAGCCCCTCCGGACCCCTGGAAATATTAACTTTAGACTCCCTTCTTTGTGGAGGTTCTCGGGATAGATCTAAACCTAAAATTTACTACTCTAGCATTGGCAATAAAATTGGAAACTTGATTTTCAAAAAAAAAGAAAAATACTTTTTCGACAAAAGTGGCAAGAGATCTACTGGATCTTTTGGGAGATCGTTGGTGCCTCGGGTGGTAAAGTCTTTTACCTTAAACACGTTTTTCATACGTTTTAAACCAAGAGTTATTGTTTAAAATCGATTTTGAGCAAAAATAATCGATCCATATGGTCCCCCTTTACCTACTTTTTCGACCAACGGCTTTGGAGGTGTTGAAAAATAGAAGAGCCGACTCTTCTATTAGAGTTTTTACGGTTATTAAGTAACACCACTTTCCTGCACATAAAAAAATTAGCGGTTAGCTTGCAAATATATTGGAATACCAAAACAAATTCAAATCCAATAAACCCGTTTTCAGCGAGAAAAACCCCGTTCCGGCGTCGAGCAATCGGTCAACGAGGAGAAGCCGAGAGCCGGCAAGAAGGGCATTTTCGATTGATTTTTACCACAAGTTTAAATTATTGTTATGAATATACTTGTAATTATGATTTGATGTCTAAATAAATGACTTCTGGCAAACGCGTGCATGGAAGGTTGGGGCGCTTTGGAAAAAATGTTTTGTGTCGTTGATCTTTGATACTAGCATTCCTCACAACGTTTGTTAGTTATTGAAGAAAAGAAAAACTCAAATTTTTTGGTTTTAAACACTTTTTCAGGCTAAGTGCAACTCTAACAACTTTTACCCCCGGCAGTTGTAGTCACATATTGGTGAACAAATCTCCGACGTAGGTCACGGTAGGCAATGACAATATTGTGTTACCTCATTTGCTATCACTATACCTAGTGAACAACAATGTTAAAAGTTGTAGAATGAAGTCGAAAAGGAAAAGCAGTTGGGGTCTGAAAGTCAGTCGGGGTCATGAAAAAGAATGGGTCGAAGAAAAGCAAAAGCCAACGAGGAAGACCATCGGAAAGTGTTAGTTAATTTTTTTCTTATTTCTTGTGTCTTTTGAAAGAAAAAAGGAAACCAAACACCTACAATAATTTTCAAACGTCTGGCAAATCTTTTCACAAATGTACAAGAAGCTATTTACTAACATTAAATGGAAAATTTAACTTTCAGGACAAGCATTAGGTTGTCCCAAAAGTTCTTGTGTTTTGTGCAAGCCGTTTTTTAACCATTCAATCTAAAAATTTCTCCTGACATATATACATATTCTGAAAGCTAACAATTTGGCATTGACTGTTTTTTGAAATACGTAACTTTTTTGATTTTTTCGTAAACAGCCTCGTGTTTTACTAAAAATTTTTTGAGCAGAAAATATGAATTTGGATAGTCTGCTAATGAGCAGCTTAAACCAACTTTTTGATCGAATTCTAACTAGGAAATAATTTTACTGAAAAGAGCACAAAAAATTGTATAAGAAAAGTTCGATTTTGAACTTTTAATATGTTTATTTGCTGCGTGCTGAGTCACCGAACATATTTTTGGTTATTTTTCCAGTCATTTTTAATGGAAAAATGGTCTTTTTCGACAAAGTCCTAAATAAAAAAAATTGACGAGTAAATATATTCTAGGGTGAAATTTTACGCTCTTCCCAATGGAATTGGTTTCAAAACGAAATTCTGGCTTAAAAATTGGCTTTTGGCGCTCATTAGTTCGCCCGGTCAGGTACCCTATTTTGTAAAATTCGATTTTGAGAAAATTAGGTATTTTGTAAAAGAAATTGAATCATCTTGTAGAAAAAAGTGTTAGCTTTCAGAGTATGTGTATATGTTAGAAGAAATTTTTAGATCAACTGGGTCAAAAACGGCTTGCACAAAACACACAAAAACTTTTGGGACAGCCTAATAGTTGGAGCACGAAAAAAACAAAGTATGCAAGCATTGGAAATACTTTTTGAAGCCCAACATAAATAGGAGCTATCACAACCGAAAGATACAAAACTCGATTTTGTTAATAAGCAAAGAAAACTAAACTGAACTAAAGAAAACGATTAGAAAATGTGATTCTTTCCAAGAAAATGTGTCCTTGTTGTAGGCGAGGAGCCGAGACAGTCCCACGAAGACGAACACCCGGGCGAGATAGAGGAGGAGCTGGAGCATGAAGTGGTGATGTTGGAGAGCTCGAGTGAGGAGGCCGAGGACGGCTTATCGGATCAGTCGATTGGAATGGTGACTTGTTCCATTTTTTCACCAGTTCTGCACATTTCAATCTTCTTCGTTGATCGATTGTGCACACTTCCCTCACGAGATATCCCACTTTACTCTAAAGGTAATGTGAATTAACAGCGGCTAATCCTTTTTTTTATTTGTAACAGATTCTAATGCTATCTAGCAAAACAGTTTTCTAATTAATAGAACGACTTTTGAGACTAATCTTACCGTATATGGCGCTATAAGCTCTTGCCCTCGCAATTCCTCCGGAAGAATTCCTTTTTCAAAGCTAATAAAGTATCGACTCGTTCCTTTTCGGTGCCGAACTCGAAAAAGATTTCCACAAAGACGACTCCCAATGCAAACACGTCCACTTTGTTTGAGTAGCTTTGGCGGTTCACCTAACGAGAACGGGGTTGAAAACAATTGGAAAGTTCTAACCTGTTCTGGACTCATGTAGAGTGTTGTGCCAACATCTTCCGTCTTGCCCTCTTCAGGCTCTCTTCTTGCTAAAATATATTGAAACTTTACAAGGAATATTCATTGATGTCCCGTTGACAAGGGAAAATCCAGGATTTGATGTCTTTTAGCTTTAGATGATTGAGTTTGTTTAAAATTTCTATTGCAGTGCCAATAAAGCAAAATCATGGATAATATAGTAAGTTACATAAAGTTAAGTCTACCTAGGTATTCCCTGTCTAACTGAAACTTTAAAATCTAACATTGTCGGTTATTGTTTCCGACAACAAATACTTAACTATCTAACCTTAGAAGGGTTACCAATTTTCTCCAAGATTAACTTTTTTATGCAGTTTGACTTTCTTCGTTTAACTTTCTGCTCACCGTCGGGATTATCAAAACTCGTTCCTTCACAAACAAGTCCCATATCGCCGATTTTCAGCTGGTTCTGATTGGCCAAGAAAATGTTCAGTGGCTATAGAAAAATTTATTGGGAACTATTTAGGAAACTAACCTTGATATCACGATGTATAAGATTGATACTGTGCAGGTATTTGATGGCTTGAAGCAGTTGACGAAACCAGTTCCACATGTTCTCGATGCTTCGACTTGCCAGTTGCCGGTGGGTTTTCAACCATTTTGCCAGTGTCCCCTCTCGGCAATACTAAACGGAAGTACCACTTTTAGTTGCTCTTTTAACTTACTTGCATTTGAATGTAGAGGTAGCATTTCACATCCACTGTCGGTTCCTGCTCGGCTTCATCTTCATCAATGTCAAGATCGTCTACTTCTGTTTCGCTCTCCGTTGCTGTCCACAAACACAATCCCACCATCAGAGCTTTCTTCCTCTGTAAAAATAATTCTCTCTTTTTCACAACGTAAATGAGCTTTTTGGTAACTTCTGTAAAATGATTGAATAAGTTTTTGAGAGTTCAGCATTTGAATTTTAAAGGCTACCGGTAGCCTAGTTAGCTACTTTGTATTTTGTTGAGATTAGACGCTAGAGTGTCACCGGGGGCCTTCCTCTGACTCGGAGTCGGTCAAGTCCGAGTCTTCTCGTTGAGGGAATGTCATTGTGTTTTTCACCAAGGGATAAGACCTAGAGTTTGTATCTATGTTAGACTTTTTACTGCAGAAACTTTGATTTGTGAATCCGCTGAGGTCCCGAAGGGCCCTGTGAGGAATTGCCAATCGTTTCCGCAAACTTGTGTGGCTTGGACAAGTTAGAGTGCTCTTCATTGGCGACATTCCCCTTCTTTATCAACTTTTCGATTCGAGTTTGATAGGATTTCTGAAAATATATGACATTTTTTTGCTTGATTTCATGAGGCTACCTGAAACTCCGGTGGCGGCTCTTCAGCCCAAGAAGTGTGGTATCTGACGAATCCAGTGTGATCAATCTTTGCCATTGCGTGTACCTGAAAGTTACTTGGTTGGCTCGGAAAAATCTAAACAATTATGGTTTTCTAATTATTTTAATGAATTAGTAGGCTTTTAACTATGCACGACTAGTTGGAATTCGAGTTAGATTTCTACAAGCTGTTGTTGTATGAGTTGCGGAAAGATTTAAGCTCACAATAAAGTTTCAAAATCGAAAATCACCTCTTTTAAAACCCTTTCAATCTTCTCCTTCTTCACACGGATACCCTTGATCGCGTACTCGTTTCGATCGAGAACATGTTTAGCCGAGACGACCAATCCGTAGCCCCCTCGGCCAAGTGTTTTAAATCCGTCAAAATCATTGAGAAGTCTGGAATTTTTAGGACGCATTTAATGATAACATAGGTATCCTAGTTATCCAATTTGGTAGATTTTACGCATAGTCTCAAAAAACGATGTGCAAACTTTTTGAAGAAATGATACTTGACCTTTGCGATTTGGTAGTTTTTAGTCCAAACAGTGTTTTAATTTTAGCAAACATTACAGTACAAAATGCTCACAATTTTTTCGTACTTTTTAATATTTTTCTTGAAATTTAACAACTATAAAAAGTTGTAATTCATATTTTTAAAAAAGTATACCTTGATTGAAAACCCGTTGACATTTGTCGCTGCGAGTTAGCCGAATACTACTTTCAGAGAAGAATATTGGATATGTTTTGGAATGGCTGAAAAAAAAGTTAAAAACAATTTTGAGGTCAGGCCTTTCGGGTGCAATATTCTCTTTGGCGGGAAAAGTTGGTAAGAGAGACAAGGGCCCGGGCCACTAAACTATCGGGTTGGAAGGTGTTCTGTCCGTTTTTTTTTTTGGATAAGTTCTTAAACTCAACCAATCTACACGTGTTATGGCTCATTCGGAAGCTGAATTCAAGGCAAAAAAAAGGGGAAAAACCGCTTTTGCACCCATACAGTTTTGAAGTTTTTACAGGCGTTTTAGCGAACTCAGTCGGACCCAGAAAAGTGCCGAAATTGCGTTTCGATAGTTTTTTTGTTTGGCAGCATAGGCTAAAGACACGTTATTCGTACTCAGCGCATTAAATTACCCTTAGAATCTCATTGTTGAGATTTTTGCAGAAATTTGAGGAAAGTTTAGCAAAAAATTCTTTTGGGTTTTGATTTATGCTGAAAATTTGTAAACGCACCCTTGCTGGAGCACTCCAGAAAAAGTGTGTTTACGCTTTGGGCATAAAGTATACCAGCCCAGATACATGCGATTAGGGTTCAACAGAATTCTGATCCATAAGCCAAGTCCGGAACTGGTACAGGCCAAGCTACGGATCAAACATTGCCAATCAATACCGGAGCTGGGCGGCCCCGGCTCATAAGATAACAACAAAATACGCATGATAAACAACAAATGCGTAAAAGCAAAACAAACAAATGAGCAAAAGAACTTTCAGATGTGCAAAACCGTGATTTTCCCAAGGCCACACCTGTCAAGGTTTGGCTAGTCTCGAACAAGTCAAGGTCCTGCTAGAGTCTAATTACATGTGTTCTTAAAGTTTCCTGGCCCTTTCAATCCTGAAACTGACCTGACCAGTTCTGAGTGACCAGGGCCCGGGTCCACCAAACTATTTAGCATTTACCATCTAGCAATTTTGCTAAAAGGATTTAGCATTTAGCAAATTTGCTAAATGCCAAATGCTAAGTGCTAAATACCAAAACAAATTTGCTAAATTTAGGGCTTTTTGTAAAAATTTATCAGTTGGTGGACCAGGGCCAAGATTTAGAGAAAATGATTCATGGGGCTCTCTAAGAAAAAGGAAGCAGAGACTCTTTTTGTACAGGCACTAACAAAGAATTAATCCAGCAAAGCCAAATGAGTTGGAAATGGAAACGCAATCAATATTATGGCAATAAAAAGTTTAGGGGAAACTATCAGCGTGACTGTTTTTTGCACCGGAGAGTTCGGTGTGTTCGGTGATTCACAAAAGAATCGCAAAGATAAGCTCTGTCCCTGCAAAAGACTCGGACTTACGTGGCACTATATGAAGATTGAGAATTTGTGGCTCCCACCAAAATTCATCTTTGCAACTTGGTAATTTTAGACTTGGTAGTTTTTTGATCAAAGATATAAAATAATAGTGATTTGATGTAAAAAAGGTTCCGATTTTTGAATAATTGGTCCAACAGCCTCTTTTTGGGTATTGTGGATGTGTATTTCGCACTTTGGAATCATATCGCTCCTGAAATGTAACTTCAAGAGGTTCCCTGGTTAGTACGGATACATTTGTTTTAGTTTGTCAAATGTAATGCTTTCTGTTTCTGGGACTGTCATGCTAGTTCAACTCTGGTGGTAGTCTTTTTACTCTCACTTATTCTGGGGAAGCGTAAAGGTTTCTTTTTACTACTCTAATACTAGTTAGAGCTTTAGAATTCTACTCTAACTAATGTAGCGATTACTGTAGGAACTACAGATGGTTTCGAGAGATAAAAACTACAGATGTAAAAACTTATCACATAATTACAAGGGATACGGGACGATTCCTCCATTTCATCGGCCCTCCAATTGAACTTCGACCCGTCACCCCAGGCATTTGGCTGCACACCCCCGCCAGCCAAGCCAATTCAGCACAAACCGCCACAACCATAGGGAGCCGATGAAGTCTGAAAAGTGTTGTGTGCAAAAAGCTGTTAATAACTTATAATTGATTGTTAGCAAAGGCGTTTGCCATAGAGGTAGTTGCCTTGTTCTTGTGAGTGAATTGTTGTGAGATGGTCACCCATCAGGTTTTCTCAGCGGCGGCCCAAGTGTCCTTTCAGATCAGCCTAGAAACGTCAATTGGTTCAATTGGTTTCAAAGTAAATGAAACGAACAGCATTTGTCAACAAAAATGGTGTCAAGGATAAAATGATCAATCTTTCCTTTGACTCTGGTCCCTTACAACCAGTAGCTCTTGTAGCTAACCAGCTAGTTATTAGGTTATTGTCAGTGATTTATTAAACAACATTCTAAATTGTTTCAATTTTCAATGTAAAGAAACAGAGATTTAGGATTTTCTAATATTATAATTTCTGATTTGACCTCAAACCCTAGACACTTTTCTGTCAGAGCCCAGCTACTATTAGGCTGGCTAATAAGTAATGGCGGATTTGCTGGGAGATGGTCTCAAACTTCAATTCTCAACGAGTTTGGTCTTGTTCGAAAGCTGTATTCAAAGGGAACACAGTAGCAAAGACCATTTGTTGATTCGTTTCGCTTTAAAATTTTTATAAGCATTTTAAAATTACCCTAGGTAGCGTAAACTTAGGTTAGGTTTACCCGCCGATCAAGAAAAATGTTTTTAGCCTAGGTTTTTTTGGGCTTAGCTGAGCTCTCT